AAAAGTTTGAACTTTTCCTTTATGATTTTCTTGGAGATAATATCTGTAAAAGCAAGGAAACAGGAAAAGAGGTATGCGTGTGACTCTTGGATCTCTTGTCATCTTGGAACATGGGTAGAGACCTAGGAAAGGTACCTAGATTTTTACCGAAGAGCTGTGTTTCTGGAGGAGCTGACCTAGAAGCCACGTGGTAGAGCACGGACTCAAATTCTTCCCTCTTTCCCTATTTTTCCTTCTCTCATTTTAGTCGCCTTTAAAACCATAAAGCAACCAACAGTTTGGAAAAAAGGATTCAAGCCCCACAGGCCAGCATGTGAAAGTTAAAAAGTGTTTTTAACACCCAAAATTAACACCTCTGAGGTCAGGGCTGAAAATGAGAAAATAGCCTAAACTGACATCCTGAGAACAAAAACCAATTGAGAGAAAAGATACTGGCACTTGTTTTTACTGACTTTGGTGGGAGGGTAGTTTTTCTAGTTAGAAGTCATCGACCAAGGAAGAACCTACAGTGCTTGCACCAATAAAATGCTAGTCTGGGTAGAAATATGAGAATAGGAAGGAGGAACAAAATGACCAGGCTCTTTCTCTGCAGCCCAGGAAACCTCCTTCTTGGAGAAAAGCAGAGGATGAAGGAAAGAACTAACTGGAATGCTGGGCAACCCCTAATCATCTTTGCCCAGGAAATTCTTTGGCATCTGAGACCAGGGAGAAGGGACTGAACTCCTCTAGGATTGAGGGGGGAAAATAAGAGTTGGTGGTTGGAGATAAAGATTAAAAGAGAGACCAGCCCTGAGATTATGCCCGTATCATCTCAGTCCCAGCCTGCCACACTTAGACGTTCTTTGTCATTTTTTGTCTGGGGGAAGGTTGTCTTCTTGTTTCAGGAATTCCAGTTTGCCAGGTGTCTTATAACCTTTCACGGGAAGAAGTTTGCTGGCCCCATGTAGACTTGTGTAACACAAAACCACATAGTGAAGAAAAGAAATAGTATTCTGGCTACAAGGAAATATCCGTTAGTGGTATGACTACCTATTCAACAGCTAAATAGTCTTCGAATAGTTAACCTTGCTTCCCAGGCAGCAGGTTTCCTGTCATAATCTGAAAAAATCTTTCCTAGACAGTAGCTGGACTCTTAAACTAAAGGCCAAATTCGGTCAAATCAAGGGAGATAGGGAGAACCCCCTCAAGTTGGACAGCTTTTTGAATAGGGCTTTCCAACAGAGAGAGAGTAGGCAATGATGTGCCATGTTCTTGGTTGGCTCAATAGCTGTGGTTCAGTCTGTCCTCCAAGAAGGACCAATGTTCATGCTCCCTGAGAGAGGAGCCAGGCACAGAGAGGCCTCGGGGTTTCCCTTTCTCTTCTATTTGCCAGATCAAAGAGCTGGGACTAGCCAAAATATAAACTAGGAACAAAACAACAGAAAAACCCACCCATACCTTTCTTCGTTTGCCAAATCATTGTTTGCAAGAGTTATAGATGGAATAGCTAAACCGGGATGCAGAGGAAGAGTGGTAAGGGGGATTCTGATTTGAAAGAGCCCCACCGGATTGGAGTCAAGATGGAGGCAGACACCCTGCAGTGATGGTGCAGACAAAGCCAACCAGCTGGGCCACCACCACCTGGCGGAGCCCAGCTTGAGGACAGGTGAGTGGCTGGTGAGTGACAGAAGACTCAGGATTGCTATTTTCTCTTCCTTGCCTCTCCTATGAGAATCGGGGTCTGCCTTCATGCTGGCATGTGCTTTAGGCCAAGGGATCTCAGAGACGTGTTGGGGCCAAGAGAGGGTGAGGCTAGAAAGTTTGGGCGCAGCTCTCTTCAAAGCTGATCGTTACAGAGATCTCTTCCTAGAGCGAAGATCTGCCTTCTCGTCCATGACCTTCCATTTCCCAGGCCAGGCCCACGTTTCCCCGTGAGAGCAGGAGTGGAATCCAGGCCAAGCTGAGGGAATTCCATAGTTCTGTGTCTCCAAGGAAAAGGACATTCACTGGCACAAAGCATTGAGTAAAAACCCTTTAATAACAAAATAACATTCACGATGGAGCTACTTCAGTTGTCTGGAAAACTCAGCTTACACTTGATTCAACATATCACTTTCCACAAAGTTTAAAAAAAAAGACATAAAATGGCATAACAAAATATACCTTGAGTTTCAAAAGACAAGTCTTCTTGGCAAATCCTAGTGAGCCAGACCCATGCGTCTCTCGTAATAAAAAGTGTTGGGCACGCTCATGTCTCAGACAATCCTCTGTTTACTCTGGATCAAAAATACATTGGAACTTTGCAGAGTTTACAATATCTGCATCAGGAGGAATAGTGTGTGGGTTTGTGAGTGTGAGGGGAACATTACTGAAACAAACATTGATTTGGTTTATGGCGGAAGAATACATAAAGCTTTCTGGAAGATTAAACACTATTACAATCATGAACTGTCTTACAAAAGCTGACTTAAAATTCTTGTATCCATTCCCATCTTTGGCAGATTAATAAGAGGAGAAATAAAAAAGACTATATATTACAAAGCTTTCATGATCACAATCTACTTTATAAGGCCAAATAAAAACATGTACCTTTGTATTATTAATGAAAGCACGTTCCCAATATATCCTTATTGACAGGGAACAGGAACGCTCTCCTCTGGGTGATTTCCGATATTTTGCAGAGCAGCCTGCAGCTTTCCCGCCACGGCTTCCTAAGCTGCACTCCCATGCAAAATAAAGGGTGCTTGGTCGCTGACTTGGCTTCACGTCAAACATGTTGATTTGGGAAATAGGTACGAAACTTGAGATTGGGTCTCAGAACGCAAAGGTCAGAAAGAACAAGTCTGTCCAATCCACTGCAAGTGAAAGATACTTTTGAGATATAGAGGCCTCAGAGAATTACGGGGTTTAAACAAAGATCACTTTCCTAAACTGGGTTTCAAAACTTCTTATACCCTCTTTAGGACAGACGTAACATTGCTGGGCAGGAAAGAGTAAGTGAGCATCACCTCTCACTCTGGGGAGGAAAAACCATGATATGGCTGCACAGCTGATGTTTTGGGGAATGGCCATCTACTTTTGCCCAAATCACTGGAATAGTTGGTGGAGTCACCCAAGAGAATGCACCAAAAAACCCAGAGAATAATTATTGATGTTGATGCTGTTTGAGTTTCTACTGGGAACTGATCTAACAAAATACTCTAACATTCTTCCAAGAAACCAAGCACAGTCAAGGTGGCCATTCCTGAGCAAAGATCCAGGAGAGGCTAAAACTGGATGAATTTGCATCGCCATAGACACGGCTGAGGTCACGAACATAAAGCCAAAATGACTCTTTTTAGTGGAAATTAAAAATGCAGCATTGTTTCCAAACCCCTCTTGCCGGAGTGATACAGCCGGGTTATGCGGGTCCCAGTAGCGGAATGCAGGTTGCTGAACCCCAGCGTGGAAGGACCTTTCTCATCAAATTTGAACTCGATTTAAAACTGACTCATTTTGAAATCCCAACAGAGGTCAAGGTATTTTCGAGGTGCGGTATCTCCCAATAAAACCAATATTACCACTGTCTGAGGCTGAACTGTGTACATTTTCACAGTTTAATGTATACACAACTGTTCCACAACCGCTAACGAACAATTGGCGCCCATGCATAAATCAAGTCCATTGAACCAAAGAGAAGATCTAGTTCAAAATGAAAAATGTTGCTATTAAGACCACAATGCATCACACTGCTAAACTTTTAGCCTCATGCATAAAATTATAGCACTGATTGGCAGTTGCTAATAATACTACACTGTTAACACAGAACAATTAATTGTTCAGACCAAGTAGCACAAATGTAGAAAATAATCATTTTTTTCAACAGAGCAAATGAACACAGATTGTTTCTTCAGCAAAATATGAAACTGTAAACTTTGGGCTCATTCTGCAACTTTCCCCAATCCAGAATAAATAAAATCCAAAGAGGGAAAAAAAAAAAAAGAACATACATTTTTTTTCAAGCGCACCTTTTCGTCTATTACAAAAGCACAACCTAAAACGTATAAAGCTTTTTTTTCTTTTTTCTTTTTTTAAATCACAGTTACCAAAAGAAACAGTGAATAATTTATTACATACGCTATAATAACATTACTCTAAACACTATTATCTATGAGGTATATCTGAGAAAATTCGGTAAGGAATTGCGCGGTCTGCATTGCCAACATGCCCAGGTTCATATTAAAGCTTTGGAACCGTGAAGAACTAGAAAAGGGAGAAGAACAGGGGAGACAGGAGGAGACAGAGAGAAAGAACCTTTGGTATTAGTACAAATCTTGTTCTTTGCAGGGTTGCGTTGCAAAGCACCACAGTACAATAAGCCCACCAGTTTACTGTATGGAGGCCCAGTTGAAGCTGAGGTATTCACAGGAAGGATTAAAAAAAGCACAGAGAGGTCCAGACTGGCTAAATCGTTGCTTTGGTTCAAGCAAGGCACTCGTCCCGTGGTTACGTCACACTTTGCACGTGAAGCATGAGGCTGAGTGGGGATTGCTGAGGAAGGGGGGTCTGCCAACCGGGGATGTTTTCTGTGTTCAGGCTGCCACCCATCTCTCTAGGCTCCCTCTTCTAGGGGTGGGTGCTCGGAAGGCTGCGGAAGGTGGTGTTTGCTTAGAGATGAGCACCCTGCTGCTCAGTGACCAGATCTTCTTTGCTGTGTTTCCCAGGTATTCTGAGAATTCTATTTCCAATAGGAATTTGGGAAGAAAACCAAAGCAATTTGCTGTTTGGAAGGCTGGCCTTACACGTTTGCCTGGTGTAGAGGGAAGATGGCGCTCTGAGCCTGTTTGGACAGGAAAGGACTTTCACATGTCAGTGTGGTATGGAAACTACAGAGAGGGGATAAGTCTGTCCATTTATCTTCTAAATCCCTCTACTAGCTGCACTCTGTCTATGCCTGGACCAGATGAGTTGTTTTTTTTTCATGTTACTTTATGTTTATTAATCCTTCCATGGAGGAATCACTATCCACTCTTTTTTTTTTCCGGACCAGATGAGTTGATTGGTCTTTTCCCTTCTTAGCTTCTTTGTCTAAATGGTCTCTTAAAAAAGCTCAAAGAGAACACACATGGAATGCAAAATACTAGTACTCAGTAAAGAACTACGCAGACTAGAGGCTGATCTTTGCATATGTCTGAATTCATTTGCTGAGAATGATTCATTGGCTAACAGACAAATCACTCTGAAGAATGAATCTTAACAGTGATTTAATCATTTGATGGACTCAGGAGAAACTTAGAAAAAGACCAATTAATCTCATGAGTAAGAAGGGAAGAGAGAAGCAACTTTTAAATAATCACTTCTTAAACTGGCGTATCTATTCCTCTGAAATTTGGGGGACATCTTTTGTTTACAATGAATACTTTTTCAGCATCCAAGGCTTAGGTATCTCTTATAGATACAGGATAGATATTGATACAGAGTTGATATAAAAACGATATATCAACGTGTACAAGTAAAGAAGAAAAGGAAAAAGCCGAACAGCTTAAAAGTCACACGTGCAAGCGGTGATCAAATTCCCCTTCTCTCTTACTGACCTAAATGTATCCATAATAATTAAACTCAACAGACCAAGAATGAACTTCCTCTTCTCGCTGAATTAAAAGCTTATATAGACAACACTCTGGAGCAGGGAGGTTCAACAGTGATCACACTGGACCACTGTGTACTTCCATGGCGAAAACCCCTCCATGAGCCCTGACGTAGCAAGGCTGGCCACCTTTACAAGCAACTGATCATATGTGGCTTTTTGTTGGGGTTCTAACTAGACAGGCACTGAAATGCCTGCGACTCTTTTTACAGGGTGGAAATGTTAAGTGACAAGCCTCAGGCCCTCCTCACTGCTAAAGGATTGCTACCTTCTTCTTTGCCAAACTGTGGCTCATCTCGGCAGCACTGAGCAATGGGTACAGCACTAGAGCGGAAGGCAGGAGGCTTGTCTGGGCTTTGTCTCTAGAGTTACTTGCCTTGGATAACTGTTTCACTCCTCCAGGCTTCCTGAAAGACTCCTAAGGTCCCTTCCAGCTCTGCTATTCAATGATTAGAATTTCTATGAGCCAATCATTGGAAATCTTGACTATGATAGCTCCAAAGAGGGGACAGAGGTCGGGGCGAGGACTGAAGGCCACTTCCAACCAGGCTTCTTCACCAATTTGGAATTGGAATTTAAGGAATCCAATTATGGCAGCCTCTGAACGTGCATCCTGAATGTGTGGAGGGGACAGCAAACGAATGAGGGAAACACAGAAAATATCCCTTTCCAATTAGCAGCCACCGTCACAGAGAGAACGATTTCTTTGGGGTATCTGAGCTGTGGCTGTACATACCGTATGTCAGAGAGAACAGTTAAAATTATAAAAGAGCACAAGCAAAATGCAGACCGCACAGAGAAAGAAATCTTTGGTATCTTTGGTGTCATCAACACGATTAAAATTACAAATGGAAAAAGTCAGTGAGGTAGCCTTCTTTGGTTCTCACTAGAAATAGAAAGTTTTTCCTTTTTTTTTTCTTTTTTCTGCTTTTTTTTTTCCTTTTTTGTTTTGTTGTTTTACACACACACAGAGTTCATTCTTGGAAGCAGCTAGTGTCAGGGTTTCTCTCTTTTTGCTGTTCTGATTTTTTTTTAAATGTATTTTTCCAGTTTCTGTATAGAAGCCCCGAAATCCAGGCTGGTGAAGCAGGGTCTCGGCTTAACGTTTTCTGAATGCAGAAAGGTTCAGGTTGAATGGTCACTGCTTGTCCACAAACTTTGCTCTGTTGTTCTGACAGCAAACAAACTGTAGCGCTCTCTGTTGTTTTAAATAAAAAATATAAACTCTATAGTGCACCTTTAGCAGATGCTGAATAAGTTAAATAAATAAGTTACAATATGAAGGCTCTGAGGGCCCCATAATTAAAAGGTGAAATTCGCCTGGTACCAGGTGGGGCTGGGAACTTAAATAATTTAATAACTGTTATTTAAACTATTTTCAAAGTTAATTCAAGAAGGAACAATACCTTGCTTTTTTTTTTTGTAACCTGTATTTCTTCCCTGTCTGTAACAGAATTTCACTGCTTTATAAAGCAAACTAAGACTCAAGGGAATGCTAAAAGGGACTTTGCATCTCTGATGCACCACTGGTCTAGATTTTGATAAATAAGGACAAAGAATTAAAATCAAAGGAAATATGATTAAATAATTACCAAAATCCTATACACTTGTGTGCTAAAAAACTAATTTAAATTAGTTAATTACATACTTAGCTTGTTGGGTCATAACCCAAAGGGGTAAGAAAAAAAGAAAGTTTGACTGTCTTCATTTTCTGATGGACGAAATATACAGCCTCTTTCAATAGTCAATGAAAATAAAGCAGGGAATTATAACCTCTAAACTTTCTCACGTTCATGGAGACCATTTAAATGTGACAAGCATGAAAGAAAATTACCACATTCCCCCTCTAGCTAGCACAGCCCCACAATTCCATGTCACCTTTGTCTTAACCCTGGAAACCAGAGCCCACTTATTCCTCACTAGTTTGCGCTTTGCTTTGCTAAGTTTCCTTCTATTTTTTTTTCTTTTTCTTCCTTTTTTTTTTTTTTTTTTTTTTGGTTGTGTGTCCTTTTTCAGGTCTTTGGATTCAGCTTTAGTTATGACAGATCCAGAATAAAGCTATTCAACCGAAGTCCTCAAGCACATATGTCAATCTTACACGGATGATTAAATAATAGCCAAGGTTTCTTGAAAGTTGAGTTTATCTTGGATGTGCCCAAATGAAAGTAATTCTGAATAGACAGAATGAGGATGTTGGGGTACTTTTTTCTTTTTCCTGCACTTTTGTTTTCAATGTTACAATAAATAATAAAAACAATGTACATTGTAGAAGTACCACATACATGCTAAAATGATTGTTTAAAATTTATTTATTGTAACAGATGACAGTATGTATGTATGTATGGAGGTGTCTGTGCATGTGTCTGCAGTCTAGACACTCACAGGTGATATGAGTTGCTTTGGGGACATCCATGAGAATACATGCTGAAAGATGTATCTACACCTCTACACATCCAAGCTGACAGACTGTATAAAATTCAGGCAAACTCATCTACCAAGGTTTCTGCTGTGTGGAACGCCTGCTGCTAAAGACAGAGCAGAGTGGAAGACTTCCACAGAATGGACAGACCTGTAGCGATGAATTTTTTTTTTTTTTGCTATACACATTTTCCCCACTAAAAAGGGGTTAGCTGGTTAATTCCAGTCAACCAAGCTCAAAAACCTGTACGGAAAGCTTAGGCTCTAGCTTTAACTTGCCTCAGACTTTCAGAGACTTTTTGGTATCTGAGAACAATGAACACTTGTGGTTCCCATGGGATTCATGCAATAGCCCATCAGCCTCAATCGTAAGTTTTGTGTCTACCTATGTGAGGCCTTCTGCTATTTCAATAATTATTTTTATATTTTATAACCCATTCTGAGACTTTCTAAAACAAATAAACAAACCCTCTCCCTTCCCCCTGCCCCTGGAAAGAAACACATTGTAGGTAGAAAATAGACATGGGACATCCATATTTAAAGCCATCGTTAACTTATGAAATTTACACAGCAAAGTCGGGTGCACCTTCTTCCTCTAGCACGGATTTTGTGGCCTTATTTGAAAACAAGAATCTCCTGTTGTTTTAGAGGTGACCTGGTCTTAGCTAAATGTACATTATTAAGCTCTCCAGTCTTACAGGTAAACGTCGGAACATTACAGGCACACCAGCTCCACCCCTTCTGTCTACCACCTTCCACTCTCTCTTCCTGGTTAGGCTAACAAGCCTGGATCACGAGGCAGCAGCAGCAAAAACAACAACAAAAAGTCAGCTCTGATCTGTTAGGAGTCGTGACAGTTATTGTCACAGTCCTTGTGTCTGGGCTTTGGGGTCAACCTTGACCACATGTATCAGCCCTTTTTCTCTACTTTTTCATATACTCCATTGTTCTTCAACAACACTGGAACCCAGCAGATTCTTTTTCTATTTTGAAAGATTCATACTATACAACCTCCTGAAAATCAAAAGTTCACCGCAAAGGTATACTGTCACGACACTTCGGTAACGGTGATCAGACAGACACTTCTGTAATTCTAAAAGCATTTTCAAAAGTGGGCAAGTGCCCCCCTGCGCCAGGTGGTGGTGATATTAAAAAAAAAATTCAACTTTAACTTATGGGCATGAATTTAATTTATCTATGCTGGGTAAAATGGTTGATTATCTAAAAGGGATTTATGTTTGTCTTTGAAATACGTTGTCTGACTTACAAAAATGCGTGTGTGTGTGCGGTATCAGATTTACCTCCCTAATTCTGATTTTATTTTAGCTAGAAATAATGATTAGCTTGAATTTCCTAAGCCCACAATTGCCAAGCGCCTGTGGGGAATGAGATGCTGCAGAGGAGACGCTTTGATTTCTCCAGACAAAGCGTCAGGCTGGGGCCTTCTTGGCTCATCTCGCCTGTGCCGTTAAGTGGTTCAACCTACACACTATTTAACATTTTGGAAAAGCCTTTAAATACCGTGGACAAGTTTTTATTGTTCTTGCTGTTTTCTTTTCCAAAAGAAATATATTGGCTCTTTTTTTTTAATAAAAATTTCCTAGAATGAACGAAGTATACTTCTAGTACCAAAATCACATTGAAAATAAAAATAAAGCAAGCTTATTTCTCTAAAGAAACAAAGAAAAGTATTTCCCACTCATTAGCCTTTGGATTTCTGTTGTCTCAAGAATGGGAATTTTGTGCAGCTTCCATTTTCATGTTTTATTTTAATTACTAGTCACTCTGAAAATGAAATTTATTTCAGAGCAGCAGTATTTTGTTAAACAAAAAGTAACACAACTCAAATTCTGAATAATTCTCAATGCTTGGCATTGAAACCAAAATAAAACCAAAAACTTAAAAAAAATGTATCTTTTTAATCAAGGAAAAAAAAAAGAATGGGAATTTTGGGTTGGAACTGCCCCTGCACACTGCCTTTTTCATTGCTGGTGGCCGAGGCATGCCTGGATTTTTTTTTTTGGATTGAGAAAACGGATCCTGAATAATAACCAGTCCAAACAGTTATTTTTTTTTCCCCTGACATTATTAACTGAAAATAAGTTTTTAAAATGCTTGAAGGAAACTTACTGGGTCAAATTCCACTACCTTTCAGTTTGCAGGGTTTTTTTTTCCTTCCCAATTTTTAACAAATTGAAATTCTGTAGGGCTTCACTTTTTGAAACAAAGATATAGGTACACACATGTATTTATATATGTATGTAGAGAATTTTTAAGAAGCAAGCACTTCTCTCTAGTAGCACATTACCTAGTGTGAGACATTTATCAGAAGTCCTTGGAAGGAAGTTCTTGCCTTTCTACATTATGACATCTTCCTCTGGTCACCAGGAACCCTGAGGGTGTGTGTGTGACTATACCTGGTTTGACCAATGTTGAAATCTCAGGCCACAAAGACAGCCTCTTTTGGTTTAGACATCTTCATAGGATGCCAGAGCCCGAAATGCTGAGATTAAGCTGCCAAAGAATCACCAACCAATATAATCTCGAGAAGAACAACCATTTCCATTGGGCCACACGTCACAAGGATTCATTTAGAAAGAGCCAAGATGAAATTCATTTTTATCAACCCAGAGGCATGTTCCCCTGCTGAAATATGCTCTTCTCTTAGTCATTTGACAGAGACAAAGGGACACAGGACAAAGCCAAGGAATATCCCTAAATAGGATGAATTACAAAAGCCATGGAAAATCACTTCCTTTCATGGCTCCATGGCTGCTGCCCCTGCAAAGGGAGACCCCACGTGGTGGGAGCAAGGAGGTGGCACCATGGACAGTGGGGCTCCCAAAGGCAGGATGCTAGGATTCTCCCCAAACCCTGCTTTGTGTTTTCTCTCTAGGATTGAGACACCCCCACCCCCAACAGCACTGCCTCACCCCAGTGCCAGCTGTGGATGCACACAGGCTTGTCTGAACAAATTGGTAATTACTACCCTGAGAAAACCTGATCAACTCACTGCAGCAGAAGTTGGACTTCCCCTCTGAGAAGTCCCTTTGGTGGATCTACTCAATGAGGGGGATCTGGGAACACCCCAATGGGATAGGGCAGTTCCTGGAGAACAGATTCTGGGCTGGCCTCATCTCTGTAACGGGTGGGAACAGACCACTGAGCTTTCCCAGCAGTTACAGAAGAGGAGCACCCCACTAACCACGGCCCAGGTCTGGTGGATGGACCTCACTCACCACCTAGATCATGCTTGAGGCGTAGAATAGAGATGACTCAAAATACAAATAAAATTCATTTGTACCATGGATCCATTTATCAACAGGTTAAATGCTGAAAGGCTTGAACTTGGCTTTCAACCATCTCCAGGGACTTTCACAGAAATCTGAATACTCCAAATCATCCGCAGCAGCAAACGTACTCTGGGATGGCATGAGAAATGAGCAGAATTCTGAACTGGGTACTTAATAGATGAAGCACTTGACAAAAACAAGACATGAATTTGGACAGCAATAATTTGGGGTTATCACCAATGTCAAGCTGAATCTATATATGTATTCATATATATTATATATATCTTTCTTTAGAAATGCAACTTTACAGCTGATTTTTAAAAAGCTAATAGAAAAGTAGAAACTGACAATTATTTTTACATGTTTCTCCCCACCCCCAAATGAAGCCCTGTTAGGATGTAGCAATCACATGAAGATGAGGCTGTCAATTCCTCTATAAATTCTTTGGTTCTGTGGCTCGGGAGAGGATGTGTCACCAAGACCCCTACCCCTGACCCTCAACCCCCCTTCCCTCCCCTGATGCTGAGACTCTGAACATAGAAGGACCCAAGACTAAGGGTTAAGCAAAGAACATTCAAGGGACAATATTATTCCCCACACTCTGCGGAGCAGAAAGAGAATGGTTCAGTTTCCCAACACCTTAAACTTGGAGTCCACGGAACCTTTTGAGAGATTCCATGTTGGGTAGAAAGCCATAAAACAAAATTAAAGGAAAACAATAAAATCAAATAAATGACCCTTTCCTTTCGTTGCTCAGAAACAAAATTGATTACCTTTACACAGATCAATGGCGCTATTAGTATTTAAGCCAGGCAAGAGGAGATAATGAACTGAAACAAAAGGTGTGAGAAATCCTCATCTTTGGTATTGTAGCTGTTGAGGTTTCTGTTGCTCTGTTCCGTGTTCTTTTGAAAAACTGCATAGGCACAAATTAAAGACAATCTTCAACTTTAAGATTACCGCGTGAGTTGTCAAATGAAGCAGCAGCCACGGAGGCTTTTCCTTATTCCTATTCCTGTCTCAACCCTTTCTTTAAAATCTGCTTCCAAAAAATGTCCCAGAGGTCTGTTTGAACACAGTGTGTTTCGCTGTTTTTCCATTTCTGGTTTTTGGTTTTTTTTTTCCTGGCGTGCTTCCTTCTTGTTGGTGGTGATTTTCATTGATTTATGTATTTACTTATTTACTCATTTTAATGGGACAGTTTTGTTTGTTGCAGAAGTAGGTGCAGAAAAAGTTTCTTTGGTTTCGATTAAGTAATTCATAAAAAAAGTCAGTCTCAAGTGTCTGTAAAGAATCATTGCAGCGTTTGGCTTGCTTTGAACACCCCTGTGGTGCCCACCTGGGGCCATTCACTGGTAAATACACACATGGTGACCCTTGCAATCTCCCAGGGTTCTGTGGGCGCTCTTCCGCTTGCTGTGGGAAGGTGACAGCCAGGAACTACTCGCTGGGTGGCTTGGCGAACGTCTTTGGCATAGCCGGTCCGCTCAGCCCAATGGTGAGCCAAATGCAAGAGCTGAATGCCATTTGGAGTTGCAGAGGCTTTCTGACTTCTAAAAGTAATCACAGTATTTTTAGGCTAGAAAATGGCAAGTAGTAAATGTCTTTGGTTTGCAGTATCCTGCTTCTTTGGTGTGCTGCGTTTTCTCCAGATTTAGTCAGCTGTTTTGCTAGGATGATTCAACAATGGAAGAGATTCAGGACTACATGACAGTGATGAGTAACACATATGGCGGTTTGAATGACTTCTTTCTTCCTTGCTAGGAAACACTGAAAACACCCCTACCAATGGGATGGACAAGGGAACAACCCAAATCTGAAAGAATGAGAATGTATTATGTGGTGGTCATAATGTATAGTAGGAGCGACCAGGTGATGGATAACCAAGAAGGATACATTAATGATCTAAAATAATCTAGAGCTTTTAAAATGCTGCATTTGCTCCATGTACCGTAACAGTTAAGTTGGCCTCCTGAGTGTGCGTCTGCATTATGTACAAACAGAATTTGTAGCAAACGGCAAAATGTGCTTGAAGCCATATTCCTAATGATTCCCTAATGACTTCCCAACTGGCGTCTTGAAAATCCAGATGCAGTGAATCCAGAACCTTCCTTACTTCTCTGTTTATCTTCGTTGTGCTTGATACTTTGAGCTCAAGTGAACTGATCTGTTTTGTTTTTTTTTGATGGATCCAAGACATGTGAGATTTCCAGGAGGTAAGAAAAAGGAAATGGTAAATGAGATCAACTTAAAGCTTTCTAAACCATTCAATGAAAAAGATGCCTGAGTTGGAAAAACAGGTCCTTGGATTTTTTTTTTAACTTCCATATTTAAAACTTGTGCTCAGTAATTGTCCTTCTGATGGTTTTTTTTTAATGTTATGGCTGCGAATGTTGGTGTACTATGGTATGATGAGGCTAAGCACTTGGAAAGCAAATGAGGTCATTCTTGTTGCTAGATTCTCCTCTTATTTGTAGCTTCTTGGGAGCCCAAACTCAAGAGTCCTTACACAGGCCAAAGTCCCACTATTACTCACAGGAACTCCGACTGCAAGAGGTTAACAGGACCCAAAGTGGGACTGTTGACGTTCTAAGCAATCTTAAGCTTGGCTGACACCACAATGAAATTCACTTGCTCCAGGAAGGTCCCATTTGGGTTTCTGGGGTACTTAGCATGCTCACTCAGAGGACAATGTCCGGTTCCAAGAGATTAATTTTCAGCTTGCACTTGGACTCCATAGCCATTAAAAACAAACAAACAAAAAAGAACACCTGGTCTATGATTACAGCTAGAATAGAAGTTTTCTTTTCAAGAGAATTGTGCTTTCAAATCACCAGTGAAGGGCCCCAGCTAAGAATCCGGTGTCTTTTTCCTTTGTGTTTTCTTTTGGTATCTGTTGTCCTCATTTGGAGGTGACTTGTGCCCAACTGAGAGTCCTTCCATCACGCTTTGGTACAAGTGCTGGAGGTGGACGAGGAGCCCCCTGTGCTCAGATCGTCCTGCCACTTCTCCAGGCTGCGGCGCCGGGCGTTCATGAAGAAGTTGCTGACAGTTGTGAGCTCCAGGCCCAGCTGCTGGGAAATGGTGATCTGCATCTCTTTGGACGGGCGTTTGTTCTCTTTGAAGATGGCAAAGAGTGTTCGGCGCTGGAGGTCGGTGAACACCAGGCGGGATTTCTTCTGGGAATTGTTCCTGTCTTTATTTGGTTCTTGCTCTTTGCGTTTGCACGCTGGAAAGGGAAGAGAAGAGAGAGTCAGTGCGAGTCTGAGGACCAGCACCCGGGAAGGTGAGCCATTGAGAACATTGACAGAGTCGTACCAGGGGATGTAAACCGTTAAACTTTATTGTGCAAATTGCCCAGCTGTCAATAGCCAGCCTTCCCAGTTCATCTCAGGGTGATGGAAGGCATCGTTAGTGGGGGAAGGGAGAGAGGAGGAAATAGCAGGGCTGTTTTACACAGTTTCGTTTTGAATCAAACGTGGTTGCTTTTTTTTCACTCCCGACCCCCCAGCACACCCTGAAAACGCTTTATCTCTGAAATCAGGTGCTGTGAAGGGAGCGATGACTTCCCCAGGGCAAGCCTGGTTAGGCAGTTCCTCTTTCACATTCACCATCTAGAATTGTTTACAGCTGAGCAGAAATTACTTTCTGGAGTCAAAGCTTGAAAGTGCGTAATTTTTCAAAAATCAAAGGTTCCACTCATGTGATTCGAATAATTGTTAACAGGATGAAATCAGAAGCGATAGAACGATGGTATCATCTCGACCCAAATCCCCTTCTTCCAGACTTTTGAAAAATCAAAAAATAAAATCAAACAGAGAGGGAAAGACTGTGAAAAAATTGGTTTAACCAATTCTAATTTGGCTGGAATTATACTAACATATTGAAGTGAAGCCAGGGCTGAGGGTCACTGGAAGAACCCAAATTTACAATGACAGGATCTTGAGGCCCTAGATATGTCAATCAATAGATGCAGTCTCTGACTTCATAGGTGGGTGTCCACATCTGGGTTGACATATGCAGCCAGGACATTAATTTATGTGTCACTACCTGTGTCATACCCCACAAGTTCCTAGACGGCAGGGACCAGGTCTGTGTGACATCCCCAACCGGCTTCTTTTTGGAGACATGGACTTAAATGAATGCTTGGGATGCTGATGACAAGTGGTGCCTCGATTCTTTCAGGGAATCTGCATACTTCACAGACAGAGTGAGTCTCAGAAGAGTCACTTGTAAGGATTAAATAGTACAGTGCATACAAATCACGAATTTGAACATGAGAACATGTGTTCAAACTGCCAGAAAGAAATCCCAGCTCATCCAGGGGTGTTGTGCAGCCTCAACAGAGCTCATCCGGGAAAGGCGAGGAGGGAGCAGAGGCCTGGCTCTGAGCATCCTTCCCTGAATCAAATCCTACTGGATGTTCTGGCCCCAGGTTGACAATCTCTTTGTACTCAACTGACACTCCCCCAAGACCAGCTGTCTGGGGTGCCACCCGGAAGCCTTTTCATACTTCTCAGAGCCCTGGTTTGTGAGTTTTGTTTCTGAGCTTTGGGTCAGGCCACTTTCTACTCTTTGCCTTTTGTAGGGAGCATCAGGTAGAGAGGGGCTGACACAGGTTGAGTATATGCATATGATTTAAGGGACAAATGTTAAAGGTTTAATGTTCAGCAACCTGCAGAGAAACACAGAGAAACTGTGTTTGCCTTCCCAACAGCTTTCCAAAGCCACCAGATTCTAAACCAAGAAATGCAAAGCAGTAGCCTGTGGTCTGCAGATGTACGGCGTGTCCCAAAGCCCAGAACAACGAGGCAGCAGGGAGATCACCCGCCCGGAGTCCTGACAGCTGGCAGTTGCCACCCCATGATTCTTACACACAATAGCGGTTGGTCAGGAGCTGAAGGAAAATAAAAACAAGAGGGCAAATGCCTGCTGTGAAAGTCCAAGAAAAAAGAGACAGATTGGATGATGTCTGGAAGCTGGTACGAAGGCGTGAACCTCAGAATTTCTCAGTCAAGGTGTGAGGAAGCCAGCTATTCCCATAGGTGCGGAGTGTAAATGCTTTCAGTGTCAAAACATTACACGGCACAGTCAAATACCCATTTCAGAACGGCTGGGAAATGCCAAGGAGCTCCCTTCCGCCCGGGGATGCATGTTAGGTTTCTAACCCACCAGACAGCATTCGTCAGTGGTGTGGGTGCAGGGAGACTCTGGCGGGTCCCAGCCACTCAAGGGGAATTCTGCCCCTGGAGGGTGTGAGGTCAGCCCGGGCTCCTGCAGGCTTCTTCTCCCCGCTCTTCTAGGAGGGAAGCAGGGAGGGTGTGCAATGGGGCACAGGCGTGTTGCTGGATGGGAGGTTGGGGTGAGGACATGGAAAGCCCTCAGCCATTCTTGACCTTCCTTCCTCTCTTGGGAAGTGGTCCCTACGTGGGTCCCTACTTGGAGGGTTGAGAGCTCATTTCCATTTCAAAAACTAGGAGAAATCCTTTGTTTATCTACAGTGAGGCCACCTATTGAGCCTACCCGTGCCTTTTCCCAGTTTTGGGACAGGAACAATATCAGCTCAGATGGAGAACGCTGCCTGTCTCCTGTGGACCAGGACCAGGGACGAGCAGGTATACACAGCCAGACGCATCTGTGATTAGCAACAGTGGTGACAGCCACTGCTTAAGACTAGCAAGGTCCTTTTTTCAACTCAAATTGTTCAAACCACCGGGTTCCCAGGGTGAAATCATAAGCTCTGGTTCAAGGCACAAGCGCCGGCGCCACCTGCCTTCCCCTCCCACCCCCCCCCCACGATCGTGAGACGCCCACTCACCTTCTCCCTGGTGGCCACTCTCAGAGGGTCAGAAACAGGACAAAGAAAGTGCCTCTCCGAGGATGTGCCACTTCCCTGGGGCTGATCTTTCTAAACCAGAAGAGAGAGAAGAATTTCTCTCCACCACTGGCCTTTCCCCCTGCTCCCTCCATGGCCAGGCTGCTCCCAGGTGTTCCCAGGCGCCCGGGTAACCGGCCACAGCTCTGTCCAATGCCTGCCGCATGGAGACATGCAGTCAGGCGTGTGGTGAGGCTGGAAAGCCAGAAGTCATCCCCATCAGGAGGGCGTTCCAAGGGAGGTGAGACAGAGCAAGGGGCAGTACCAGGGACTTGGGGAAAATATTAAGGAGGCCACGAAAAGCGCTGCATCATCTGGGGCTTTCCTTTCACACACAGCCAGTCAGGGACTGTAGTTTCTCTGAAAAGAGTCACTTTTACTCACCCCTAATTTTCCTTCCTGGGACAAACGTCTTTGGTATTTGCATGCCAAGGGGTGGAGGACTGTGCAGGCAGGAGGGGAAGGCAGGCAGTGTGGGAGGGAGCAGCAAGTGGGACAGGCACAGGGCCACGAGCTGCCAGCTGCCAGCCCACGGGCCTTGTTTTTCTCCTCGGTCTTCCCTAGGAGGGCCCGTGCCTGGACACAGGTGGAGCGACCTCAGCTGTGAGCACCTGCAGGGTCAGGGCGACAGTAACAGCTGGTTCTGTGAGGCAGATCCAGGTGGGGGGCCACCTGGAACCACACTTCACCTTGATGCTCAGTCCCACAGGTGCAGTGGCTTCAGCCCTTCAAGGCACCTGCACATCTTCCACTGCTCATAACTTGACCCTCACCACTGAGTCACAGAGAGGCAGGGCTCCTGTTGGGTCTGGGGGCTGGAGGCACACAAGACGAGCTTGAGAGGCAGCTGAGGTCTGCACCCCCATCAGTGCCTTCCTTTCACAACCTCCTTGTGAGGAACGAGGGGCTGAGCTGTGGATTCCCATTTGACAGTCGGTGAAGGTCCAGTGACTTATTTAGGGTGACACAATGAGACACAGACCTGGAAACCCCTTCTCAGCCTCCCTGGGTCCTGAGGAGCCCGGGAGGTAAGGGGCTCTCAGCCTCCCTGGGTCCTGAGGAGCCCGGGAGGTAAGGGGCACCCAACACTGGGTCAGACTCCTCGGTCCTCCCTGCTCTGGGGCTGAAACTCCCACCTGTTGGGATTCTGCCCCACGAATTCAGGACCCTCAGGAGCAACCTTTGCTGTAGTGGGCTGAAATGCTCCCACCTGTCTTTGGAGAATCTGGCTCCATCTCATGATTTGCTACAGAATTATGAGTACTGGAGGGGTCCCGCACGCCTGCCTGAATTGACAGGAAAAGAAAACGTCTCGTGGAAATGAATTACACGCCTCAGATTTGAAACAAAAGGTTCTGTAGTTTGTTTGTTTGTTTGTTTCTGAGGCAACTGACAAGGGAGAAGATGAAAATGGATGAGGGCAGGGCGGTTTCCATCGGACCCAAGGTCAAACCCAGCTCTGCCACTCACCAGCTGCAAGGCCTGGGTCTGATCACCGCGCCTCCCCCTCCCTCGCGCTGACGGGACCAGAAACGATTGCCGGGTCCATTCCATCCTTCTCACCGATTTGCCTTCCTCTGCCTGGCACCATTTTACTGACTTTTCCAAACCAAAGGCAAATGGTGCCTTCTCAGTGACACCTCTCATTGCTCCTGAGAGGTCAGAAGAATGAAAGAAATCGCCAGCTGTTCCCTGCAGGCTGTTCTTGGACGCGACCCACTCTGCCTCTCAAGTCCCGTGCTGGGCCGGCGCCTCCTGGGGAACGATTGCCCCACCTGCCTAATGGGAAGTGGAATCGGGGCTGCTCTGGCCTTCCAGACTAGAAGCTGCAGGGTTAGGGAGGGGTGTCTTTACCCTCCTGGACCGCCTCACAGGGGTCATCAATAATCTGCTGGTGAAGGTGGTCCGAGCAGGAGCCGGGCCGGGCAAGTGCGGGCTCCGGCGTCTGGAAACCCCGGCCTCCTTTGGCTTGTCCTCTCATCTCTGACCTTTTAGATCTGATTTTTAAACTGCCATCTCTCGTTTCCTCTCAACTTGTTGTCTCTTTCTCATGACTTTGGGTCTGTCCCAGTCCTCCAGGAATCCGCAGCCCTTTCCATTTCTGCCCCGAGGTCCCCTTCTTTTCCTCCCCAAGTGCCCACGCTGCCTCTCCCCCACAGCCTGACATCAGCTCCCATGTCCTCCAGGGTAGCCCTGCGGTCCTGCGGAAGCAGACTCTTCCTTCCAACCCTCCTCCCCAGAAACCTCAGGCACACAGGCCAAAGGGAGGTCCTTGCAGAGGCCTGTGCGAGGGTGAGGGGCTGAGACCCTGCAGAGGAGGGGAATTCTGGCTCCACCAGCACAGCCCGATGCCC